GACAACAGATGGAACCTAACCAAGGAGAGAAGCAACCTGGGACTAAGGAAAAATTTCATGACGGTGAGGACAATTAATCAGTGGAACGACTTCTTCCAGAAGTTGCGGGTGCTCCAACACTGGAAATTTGGAGAGTTTCGAGAAGTCACTGCACAATGATTTGTCTGAAATGATATAAGGTGTCCTGCTTGAATAGGGGCTGGACTAAAAGACCTCTGAGGTCCCTTCAAACTCTGTTTTTTTATTTTATTTATTTATTTTTATTTGTCAATTGCTTACAGGATAATAGCTATAAGTAAAAAAAAAACATAGTTATGAATACATGGATGCATATAAAAGAAACAATAGGACAGGGACCGTAGGCACGTTGGTGCGCTTATGCACGCTCCCTACAGCCCCCTTAGGAAAGGGGTGAGGTCAATAGTAGACAGCCTAAGGTTAAAGTTTTTGGGGTTTGGGGAAGAAACCTCAGAGTCAGGTGGAGTATTCCAGACATTGACCACTTTGTTGCTGAAGTCGTATTTCCTGCAATCAATTTAGCCGAATTTAGTAAGAGGAAAAATTCAGGTATTTTATTTACAAGGTTTCTTGCATTGAGTAGCTTGCATTTAAGGCAAGTTGTGGTTGGAATAGAGGTAGCTAGGGGCATGCGTGCCTAGTTTTGAGTGGTGTTAGATTGGATGGGGTAGGATTGGATGCGGAGTTGTGGGTTGTGTGACTTTCTTTTGATGCAATCAGCTCTGTAGTCAATGTATAGGTCCTTTTCCCCATTGTCTAGACGGTTTTTGAGTTCTGCATGGAGTTCATGGGAGTGGATTCTTTGCAGTATGGATAAGTCTGGTCTTGAGCGAAGTTTTTTGTGGTTGGGATTGGTTTTTGCAATGGCGTTTATTGTATGAATGAATATGCGTTTGCTGGACTCATTTTTGCATACAACTCTACAAAATCTTGGGGCCACAGAGCCGTCATTGTATTTCTACCCATGGCCATCTCTGGTTATTTCAATGATATCTTCAGGAGAGATGTTTGTTGTATTTGTGTTGCTTATGATATCACGAACTTTGGTGATGTCATCTGATTCGTTGGTGTCTTCGAGACCAAATAAGATGGCATTTGGACGTTTCTGTTCACGTTCCATGGTGTCTCTGATGAGTAAGGAGATATTATTTGTGGAATTATTTGAAGGGATAGTAATTGTTTGTGGCTGTGGTTTGGTGGTTATTTTTGGTTGTAGTTGTGATTGTAGTTGAGGTAGTGGTTGTGGTTGTTGTGGGATTTGATTTTGAGCTGATAGGTCCTCACTTATCTTTGCTGTATTTCTTTTTCAAGAGAAATTAGGCTTGCTTGTATAATTGTTTCAAAATGTGTTGCTAAGCGTTCTTCGATTGAATGAATGAGTGATTCTATGCTTTCAACTCTGTCAGGTAGGGTACTCAGTTTGTTTAGCTTAGGAGAACATGATGGACATAGAAAAAAGAATGTATCTGAATTTCAGCTAGGCTGTTATTCCATATTCTTTGCCTAAATGTATCAGGCCCATGTCCCGAGGTAAAACTTCTCTGCAGTCCTCTCTGGACCAAAGAGAAAAAGTCTCCTTATGTCTCACATCCAGCTTGAGGGCAGCCCTGATGGGGAAATTGCATCATCTCAGCAGGTGAGCAACAGGGCTAATCCATTATGAAGTTGACACAACCTACCCATACCAACAACTCATTAGCACGGGACTTTCCCTCCTCTGCTGCAACTCTGGAAAGGTGAGTTTTGCTTGACCACAGAATTGACCCATGGAAATCAACAGGGACCTGCCTGGCTTCCCCCAAAGTGGTCAGCCAACCCAACTCTCAGATTCCCCACCTCTTGTTCGACCATCTTGTGAAAGAGGAAGGAATGTGGATTCTCACCACATTACATTCTCCTGCTTCCTGGATGTGAAATTCCCAGTTGGGAGAATAAATAGAGCCAGCAGCCTGAGTGTGGGGCAGACGGCTTCATCATGTCTTCTGGAGGTCTTCTTCTCCTGCTGGGACTCCTCACCCTCTGGGCAGAGCTGACCCCCGTCTCTGGCCAGGACCGTCCAAGTGAGCTTTCTGAATGATCTTGAAACCCTTTGCAGGGAGCGGCTGAAGTGATCAGAGTTTTCCCCCAGGGAAGAGAAACCAAAGACCCCAGTCTAGAACCTCTGGCTTGGTGGGGCTTCTTCTGGGGAGGTTCTTGAGATGGTGGTTGGGTGTCAGCTGAACAGGAGACAGAAATGGGAGGGGGTCCCAAGAAAGAGAGATGCAGTTTTAGGGGAAGGCTGACCTATCTTGACTCAATGCAGCAGAAGAATCAGGATTTTGAGCAACAGAAACAATCCCTTCAGCCATCTGATACAAACCCCAGAGCAGAAAACCAAGTGAAAACATCCCAGATGGCTCTCGACTGCTTGCAATTTGAGCATGCTAGGAGGGCACCAGATTGGGGAAGTGAACTGAAGACGTTTATGCTCTCTAATCAAATAACATCCACCCTCTTTCCATTTGTCACAGAGTTTTGTCATCTTCCTGCTAACCCCGGACCATGTAGAGCAACAATCACTCGCTTTTACTACAACTCGGATTCAAAACAATGTGAAAAGTTTACTTATGGTGGATGCCACGGCAATGACAACAATTTTGAGACCAAAGATAAATGTCATTACACCTGTGTTGGTAAGTAGAGGAGGATTTGCCGACTGACTCTTCCAATACAAGGGAATTCATGTAGCTCAAAGTTGAACTATGGGGTCCTTGTTGCTTCCAAAGGTAGGTTGTTTTCTTGCAGACATTTTGTTAGGGATATACACCCTAGCAGAACATGCAACGGCAGTCTAGCAGGCAGGCAGATATGTGAGACAAAACGTTGTAGTAGCTTACACTCAGTAAGACAGATACACTGTGCAAGTTAAATAGTTTTTATTCCAGCAAGAGTTATAGCATAGTCAAACAGTCCATATGTCATACACTAAGTTCAGTCAGTCCGGGGGTTATTCAGTTTGCAAAGTCCAGTGTAGAAAAAGAGTTCATTAAACTTACAATATCAGTCCAGTAATTTATCTCTTTTGCAGTCAGAGATATGAAGAAAAATCAAACCCCTTTTCTTCTCTCAGCAAACACGCAGTTATCACCATCAATCCATCATTGTCAGCAATCCAGTAAAAGCCAGCAAACAGTGAGCTCTCTTGCTCCCTCTTATGGTGATTTTACAACCGCACCCAAAATACTTGGTTTACAGTTTAAAGTGATACATACACTTAAACTCACTAACATAGTTTATA